TTATTTAGGTTTGAAATATAAGAATAAAAACCAGTGTAACTCATTAATCCTTACAGTTAGAATAATAATTTTTTTATTATTTGTCATTATTAACTTCATATATTTTTATGGTAATACCAAAAATTCTTAATTTAAATAAAAATTTTTAGTTTGACATTGTGTTTATAATGTTTAATATAAGTAATTTTCAAACTTTACATAAAAGCAATGTTTCAAGAAGAAATTAAAGCAACTTTTCAGATGTACGTTTGGCTTTAGCTATTCAGATATGTTATAATTGTGTTTTAAGGACTTTCTCTAATACTATTTAATTTAACGATAAAAATAATAATGTAGAGAACTTCATAATAATTTTATGACCTAGTACATATTACTAACAATATTGTATTATTTTATTTATTTTGCGTGTTCAAAATGTACAGAATACTTTTTTAATTTAATATAAAATTTACAATTTAAATTTCTATCAAAATAAATTTAATTAATTTTTAATTAATAGACAGTACAATATTAATAATATATTTAAATTTAATTACGTTAATAATTAGTTACTAGAAAATTATTTTTATAAAGTAAGGTTAGGTTAGGTTTGCTAGTTTACAATCTGTTTGAAAGCATTTGTGAATGGTACAATACTTTAATACTTATTTGTCTCTGTTATAATATAATAGTACAGATATAAGCAATCAAATATATCTTAAACTGTAATTAATTACAATCAATATAATGTAATAATATGAAAATAATCTTATTATTAAAATTGGCTATGTCCTATTTTATGCTTGCTTATGCTTGAGAACATAAATTAAAATATTGAATTACTTTAACATTTTGTTTTGACATGCTAATGTCAATACTACGGGTAATCACATAATTATTATGTATTTTATAAGGGTAGTATTTGGAGGGAACGGGTGGTTAATACTCACTATCGACGGTGCCATCAGTCTTAAGGGGCAGTTCGGACACGAGGGTCAGGGCTGAGCAACTGTAGCCAAACTTATACCGCGGTCACGTTTTTGGTGATCATCTGGTAGTCATCGGATCCCTGGGTCACTACAAACGAGGATATGTTCCAGAAGTTCCTGTCAAATAATAATCATAATAAAAAATTAATTAACATAGGTCATTGTTGTATTACAAAAATAACAAATGTCTGATAAGGTTTAACGCCATAACTTTAAAATTAAATAATGAGTAGTAAATTAACTAGTAAATTAGATTTACATTACAGTCTATTATTCTCTTCTCTCTCTCTCTCTCTCTCACTCACTCACACTCACTCACACAAACCAAAACAATATAAATCATTATCAAACATTATCACCCCTACCCTCCCGTTCCCATAAAATATCCTAATAACACAATAATACATACGTAACCCTTTTCATTTAGTAATACGAATTGATCGTAATATTGAACTTGGTCACAATTTTATCGCTCGTATATTTCAGCAACAGTAGGCTGGGCTCTATCCGCTCCATAACACCATCCATAGTCTTATTGGCCGAACAGTGGGACGTCAGGTCAATCGTAAGCTGATCCCCGGGCCCGGGCTTAGTGTAGGCCACCAGTGGTGTCAACACAGACATCGATATATTTGTGGTGTAATAGTAGATACAGTGCGGACCACTTATTCTGTTACAAATTTGAATTTAATTTTTAAAAAAAGTATTTTAGTTACTACATTGAAAACACCATCAAACTGTAGATTATTTATTAATCTTTCATTTGATATATTATTTGACAACATAAACACAAAAATAAAATTATTTTCAACAGTTTTTGTGATTCATCTATCGGCCAGTCTTTCCAGCTATGGGAAAACCCTATGTATTTTATAATGGAGGTTACAAATAGGGAAAAATGCCTATTTTCATCAAACTTAAAACTTAATTTATAATTCATTTTTAACATATATATCATTTCTTATGATTTTAAAATATACTTTTAACACTTATTTAAAAGATATGATCGAGATTTAGACTAAATTAACTTTAAAACTATTTTTAAAATATAAAATTGAAAAATTATGACTGGAAAGATTTTCTGAGAGGTGATTTACAAAAACTGTTGAAANAAGAGGACAGTCGTACCAAAGAGTTGAAACGTGTGCGCAGGGCTGACCCCACGCCCGCCCCCGAGGATGACCCGCTACTGATAAAGGTGGGCGCCGTGGGACAGAGGTGTCTATACTATTACACGACAAATATATCGGTGTCCGAGTTGAGCGCCGGTAAGTTGACACCACTGGTGGCCTACAATAAGCCGGGTATCGGTATCGGTGATCAGGGTGCGCTGGATCCTATATCGCAGTGCTGGGTGAATACGACCACCGATGGTGGCGCACCGGAGCAGACAAAGGCCGGCTTACTGTTGCTGACGTATACGAACGGGACATTAGTGACCAAGTTCAATATTTCGATCAACTCGTATTACGTTAAGAAAGGCGTAACGTATGTATTGATTGTATTTGTGTTACTATTTTAGGGGGAATGGTAGTGGTATGGGTGCTAATCAGGGTTATCATAAACAGACTGTACACTAGACATCACCTTGCTATAGATTAATTAATTTAAAATTTGTGGCTTAAACGCGAATAAGCTTATATTACGCAAACTATATAATATTATTAAACAAATAACCTGTGTTAATTAATTTGTACCATGGTATATATGTTTTTTGCAGTAACTTCTGGAACATATCCTCGTTTGAGGTGACCCACCAATCCGTTACCTACAAAATGCTCGCCAAAGACCTGACCGCGGAGTATAAGTTTGGCTACAGTTGCTCAGCCCTGACCCTCGTGTCCGAGCTGCCAAAAAAAGGCGACACCGTCGACCGTGAGTATTGAGCTCCCGTTCCCCCCCTCCATATACTACTATTATATAAAACTCCATAAATATGTGATTATCCGGTATTATTAGCGTGTCAAAAACAGTTAATTAATACAATATTTTAATTTAGTTATCAAGCATAAAATAAGTAATCAAAGCGCATATTTTGTCCAATTTTAGTATTCAAATAAATTTCATAGTATTAAAATATATTAAATATATTTAATTAGAGTTTAAGATATAATACATTGTTTATAACTGTACCTTATCACAGATAACTACCGTAATTGCCACTATTATAACACAAATTACTATACACTACCTATTCATCCCTATGTTCGTAATAATTGTATTTTAATATCTACTCTAATATATGAATTAACTATTTTTGCTACCCGTGCCCACCCATATACAGCTGACGGAAAGCGACTGGTGGTGGTGTTGCGTAGGTTCCAGCTCCAGCCCTTCCACAACTATCTCAATCAGGATATATTCACGGAGTCCTTCCACTGCGAGACCTGGATGACTATGCCCTTGTGGATGGGACTCCTGACACTACTGGTCCTGTTTGTCATACTGTTTATGGGCCTATACTTCATATCCATTGTCAACACTCCCGACCGGTTCGAGAACCCGAAGGCTAAGCCACTGATCATTACGAATGCGGACGAGTAGTGTGTGTGTGCGGGGGTCGGGACCCCCGGAGTCCCACGGGTTTTACGACAAGTTCCCGATTTTTAAAAGTGTTGTGAACCCTATTGTAGCGCAAAATTGTTATTAAATTGTAGTGTTTTTTAGTGTAACTTATGTTTAATTAAATTATTATCCGGATTAGTTTTTGATTATAATTAAATAAATTTGATTTTTATGTCTATATTCCAGTCTGTGATCATACATAACATTATGAAACACATTGTAATCAAGTGATACCCCTTTCCCGTCAATTATGGGTTGGGGTCTACAATCATAGCCAGTGAGGGCTAGTATTGAATATTTTTGGGGATATATTTAAATTAATATTTGAAAGAGTTTCATGAGATTAAATGTTAAAGGTTAATTTTTAACACCTATTCTATTATATTGTATTCAGATTAATGTTATGCAAAATCCTTTGTGTAAAATAAAATTTTCAAATAAATGCTTTTATAAACTAAATATTTATTTATTAATATTGATTTAGCAAAAGTTTTCATTATTTTCAAGAAGTGGCTAATGTTATCCTGGATAACTTATCTAAATCCATTGTTATTAAATAATCTTTATTACACTTAATTATATTTTATTTATTTAGTTACAGTGTTATTGTAAATATAACTTTCTTATATACAGTATGTTTAATTATTTTATAAATTAAATGTATAGTTAATGAGTGAGTGAGAGTGAGTGAGTGAGAGAGAGAGAGAGAGAGAGAGAGAGAGAGAGCTGTAAATTAAACACAAAATTAATATTTTATAACCTTTCAAATGGTTTTAAGTAAAAATTGGGGGTTAGAAGACAGAATTATGATTATTTTAAATTTTTTATGTAAGATTTATTAAGTTTTATAATTAATGTAGGCAGTAAGTTTGTATAATGGGGTGTTTTTGTTTATAGTGATTGCTAGTTAATTGTGTTTGTAACTTATAAAATTAAATTATAGCTCTCACCGGTCTCATATCCATTTAAAAATATTACATATTGCCATTTAGTATTTATATTAAGTTTTGGTTTTATGTACAGTTTTATTAAATCTCTCTCTCTCTCTCTCTCTCTCTCTCTCTCTGTCTCTGTCTCTGTCTCTCTCTCTCTCTCTCTCTCTCTGTCTCTGTCTCTGTCTCTCTCTCTCTCTCTCTCTCTCTCTCGCAACACACACACTCACTCATTAAATAATCCTAAATTAATCTCGACTACCGAGAGAGAGAGAGAGAGAGAGAGAGCTGTAAGTTAAACCTAAAATTCATATTATATCACTTGTCTAATGGTTTTAATTAAAAATTGGAAAAACACAGAGATTCATTATTTACTGTATTTTTTAAATAATTACAATTTATTTGTAATATTCCCCGACCGTACTGGCCTTAAAACAGAGACACTTCCGACACGAGGACCCGGATAACAGTCACTTGAATAACAAAAACAGCGACAAAGTATGGATCGAAATGCCCGGCTATAGTCTCGCCGACAACGACCGCCTAATAGGGGAACTCCTGTCGAAAATACGCGAAAACATCACCAAAAACACGGTATTCCTCATCACCGGCCGTCACAATCAGTTCCGATCCGTCGATCTGGAGGACAGGGATGAAGAGGACAGTCGTTCAAATGAGTTGAAACGTGTGGGTAGGGCTAACCCAAGCCCCGGCCCCTCAGCCGAGAAATTACCCGTAAAAGTAGGAGAAGTGGGAATGTAGTGTATCTACTATTACACCACAAATATATCGGTGTCTGAGTTCACACCACTGGTGGCCTACACTAAGCCCGGGCCCGGGGATCAGCTTACGATTGACCCGACGTTCCACTGTTCGGCCAATAAGACTATGGATGGTGTTATGGAGCGGATAGAGCCCAGCCTACTGTTGCTGAAATATACGAGCGATAAAATTGTGACCAAGTTCAATATTACGATCAATTCGTATTACTAA